AAATTTGTGGTGAACTCCAAGTTGGGTGGGAGTGTTGATCTGCTGAAGGGTAGGAAGGGTAGGTAGGCTCTGCAGAGAGATATGTCCAGGCTGGATCGATGGGCTGTGGAGAGTGGTATGAGGTTCAACAGGACAAAGTGCCGGGTCCTGCATTTGGGTCACAACAGCCCCATGCAACACTACAGACCTGTGGAACAGTGGCTGGAAACCTGCCTGACGGAAAAAGACCTGGGGGTGTTGGTTGACAGGTGGCTGAACAGAAGCCAGCCTGTGCCCAGGTGGACAAGAAGGCCAGCGGCATCCTGGCCTGTATCAGCTCTGGTGTAGCTAGCAAGGCCAGGGCAGGGATTGTCCCCCTGTACTGGGCACTGGTGGGGCTGAACCTTGAATACTGGGTTCAGTTTTGGGCTCCTCACTACAAGAGAGACATTGAGGTGCTGGAGCAGGTCCAGAGAAGGGCAGTGAAGCTGGTGAAGGGCCTGGAGAACAAATCTGATGAGGAAGAGCTGAGTAAACTGGGGGGCCTATTCTGGAGAAGAGAATGCTCAGGGTGGACCTTATTGCTCTCTACAACTACCTGAGAAGAGGCTGTAGTGAGGTGGAAGTCAGTCTCTTCTCCCAAGTAACAAGTGATAGGACAAGAGGTAACGGCCTCAAGCTGCCCCAGGGGAGTTTTATATTGGATATGAGGAATAATTTCTTCATTGAGAGGGTGATCAGGCATTGGAACAGGGTGCTTAGGGAAGTAGTGGAATCACCATCCCTGGAAGTGTTCAAACCCTGTGTAGATGAGGCCCTCAGTGATACGTCTTAGTGGTGGTCATAGCAGTGATGGGGTAATGGTTGGACTTGGTGGTCTTAAAGGTCTTTTCCAACCTAGTTGATTCTATGATTCCACGATTAGAAAACGGATGTTCAGATGTTTCTGGAAGATTTTATACGATGAAATAAATCATCTTTTGTCAACAAATGATGTTATCACGTTATTATGGATCAGGAAGAGCCATCAGTTAATACAGTTTAAACACTGTGTGTGTTGAGATAAACTGCTTCATGCTACTGGATCCCTGGAATAATGCTTTACATATCTGTGAGGTTTTCAGCCACTAATCTCAAAGAGTTTTTCAAAAACACACTCCAAAACCCATCCTGTGCTTTAATATACCCTTCTTTACAGCTGGAGAAACCCTGCATTTCTGAGCTGTGAGTAAGGTTCCAATTTAAGACGCAATACTGCTTGAACTTTTGATTACTGACATCCATCGCTTGCACACCTTTTGGAGACCACAAAACCTCCATAGATGCTCATAGGATGTAGGGATTCCCCTACGTCCTGTGGAGTCTCCAAGGAAGATGATCTCATTGTATCCTGCAAAACACTGACACTGCTCAATTTGCAAAGTGCTGCCAGACTCATATGAAGGCAAAATAAAGCTCTGACCACCACCTCTGAACTCGCTTGTGGAGCATTCTGTATCTGCTGCAGGATTGAGTAATCACATATGCATCCTCCTGTCTACCAGGGTACTGTGGGAGGAACTTATTCTTAGGACTCCCTTTGGGAGGATGAGACTTCAAATGGAATGGTTAATCCTTGTTAGGGCTTTTACAAGGCATGTTTGCCTGGCCAACTAAGTGCACAACTTCCCTGTATTTATGACCTAAAACATGAAAAGCTCCCTCTGACCGGCTATGTCAGCTACTCCCCATCTGTAGTGTGTGTTAATAAGAGAGATGTTTGCAATTTCTATGGAAAGTCTGGCTATAGCATACTAATGCCTTATTCTTAGGAGTGATTGAAAAGTGAACCTGTGGCTCCCTTTAAGCAACAGGAGGTGAATTCAGAAATGGCAGTGCTTTTACAGATCCCACAGTGGCTTTCCTGGAGATCCTTGAGCCTCTTGTGCAAAGGTAAGACATCTCCTACAAGGCAGGCACATGGGGCTCTACTCTTGATCTGTCAGTAACTGCAGCTTCTTCTTTAAGGTGTGAGAAGACAGTATTCTCTTTCCTGCTAACTCAGCTCTTGGCTTGGAAGCAAAATGAATTAATTTGGTGGTATATGCCTAGGAAGATGTGACCTAAGCTTAAAAACACAGGAATGCAAAAATTTAGCTGACAGAAGCACAATTGGAACACTAGGCTTTTTTGTTTGTTTGTTTGTTTTCATTGAATTTGGATATTATTATTTTTTTATTATTTCCATCCAAATCTCATGAGACAGGTGGCAAACCTGATCACTGAACCTTGGATGTGATAGTTCTCCTGTGGTTTATTCATATAACGGTCAGATAGTTGCCTTTTTCCTGACAAATTCAGAGTTTACAAGTAGCAAATGTCCCATGAACACAGAAAGAATCATGCTGAGGAAAAGGAGACTTCTCCCTTAAGTAGCCCATGTTAGGGTCCCCTAGCTGCCTTTCTCTGACATGACCTCTGCTCCCAGGAACTCATGGCTGCAAAGAGCCTCCTTCTACAACAGAAAGTGAGTGGGAGAAAGGATCCTAATCAGGGTTTCAACTTTACTTTGTGGGATTTGATTTAGTAAGCTCTTAATTTATCCCTGGGAGGAGTCTTGCTGTTGCCTGCAGTTTTTCTTATATTAGTGCCCATGGGACTAGATGACCAAATTCGATAATTCTCAGGGAGAGAGGTAGCTAATTTGGTTGGGTCAGAAATACCCAGAGCTGAAGTGAAAGACAGTCCAGGAGCAGTGGTTAGCAGGGACATGGGACTGTCATTGCTAGTTTCATGGCTCCCATGACAATGCCTTCCTGGTCACTGTTTTCCAAGCACCTTTCATCCCTCAAACCAGGAGCATGCTAGGTCATCCTGGCAGGATGTCCATAGTTTGCAACAGATGTTTGAGCTCTTGGGGTCAGCTCCCAGCTTTCCTCAAGTCAGTAGGTAAATCTGACTTGGTGTGAATCTAACAGAAATAGGTTTAAAGCTGAAGGATTAAAGAGCAGAGGGCAGATTTGCCTGTGAGCAGCAAACACAGCTGTCCTGTCCCTGCTCACAAGGGCAGCCACTGGACCTGCACCCTGGTGAGCATCTTATTTAGTCCACAACCCGTCAGGAGCTGTCATAGCCATATGTGACAAGGATGGTTGAAACTTAATGCGAAGGCTGGGGAACTGTGAATGATTATTAATTCCTTGAGCTCTGCTAGGGAAATATTATGTATTTTTCATGGCTGCATATTTTAAGCCCAGGGAGATTTCTTCTCCTTCATGCCCAGAGGCTGGATGTTATCAGCCCAGCTACTTCAAAAGCACTATCTTTTTATTGCAGTATCTGCAGCATGTGGGTTTAAACCACACTGAAAATATCTCTCTTTCTTATCACCCCTCTCAACATTATCTGGGAAACACAGACCTGAGGCCTTAATTGTGGTCTTTCTGAGTCTCCTTCTCCGTATAGGACTCTTAACCCAGAAGCAGCTGTAGGCAGTGGACTGTAGCACAACCCTCTTAAACCCACATGTGTGTGAAAGAGAACTGAATGAACATGGGAGCAAGTAGAAGCAATAAAGGGTTCCTGCATGAATATCTACTTTTTTTTTACCAAGTGAAAGCTCCTTACGTTCTGCAGAATTGAAGCAGACGGGGGACAAGTTCCCAAAATAACTTAAATTCCATCAGCATTAGCCAGTGTAACAACAATAAAACCTAAGACCTTTATGACATGTGGGGCCACATCCTCCCTAGTCCTCAGCCCATGTTTGCTACTATCTGGCACCTAAACGGTAAAAAAGAAAAGTATCTCTCAACAGGGACAGTACTGTGAAAGCTTTATGAATGCATGGCTAGGTTAGTCCGTCCTCATTTGTACAACTTGGCTTACACTGTTCACTGGGTCTTTGCCAGACCTCTCTGTTGCGTAATTTTGTGGCTTGCTTTAATAAATTCACAGAAGTTTCTAGGGATGTAACTAATATTTACCCCTTCTTTCTGTAATTATACAACACCCACTACAGTGAGACCCGGCTCCTAAGTGGTGGATTTGTGCCATGATTTATATTAATTATCAAAGCCAGTGCTATAACATAGGGAAATAGAAACACCCAATTATACACTTAAACAGCAGAGAGAAGACTTTAAAAAAATAACCTATAAAGTCATACGAGTAGTTATTTACCTGTCCACTGAATAAATTGCCTAATTGCCTTCTGAGCAAAACCAATTTTAATTGATTTTCTGCAGTGCACACACTGACTGAGACTGAATAATACTGGCTTAAACCAATAGCAGTCTCACTGAAGTCAACCTCATTACTTGAGATTTCTGCATAGGAAAGTCAAATATAGTGATGGCATGCATGGCATCACATCCTGCTGGTCCAACTGCAGACAAGCCCTTGTACATGGGGGAGAAAAGGGAGTTTTTGAGAAAGATTCTCATGGTTTCAGCTTGAGCAATGTCTAAGAAAGATATTTAATAAAGAGCTCCAAAATGTGTTCATTGTTTTGGAGTGTTTCCAAGCTCTTTCCTCCAAAAAGATGTTTCCAGCATATATGATTCAGAGTTAGTTATTCCATGCTCATGTATTCCAATGGAAATGGGATGATTTTTATGTTGAGGTACTAGACAGTATGATTAAGGGTGCTGGAACTTGGACCGTGCAATTTAGAACCTTTTAAAACATTTCCATTCCAACATCTGACCTCACTGAATTTACTTAATATGCATTTGAAGGAATAACTTTGAAAAGTTATTTTCTCTGATCAGAAATCTTAGTCTTTCAAAGAAGAAATTAAATGTACATACACAAAATGTACATCAAAATATCAAACATTTTTCATGGTCACAACAAATGTCCATCTCATCAGGCTTTATGACTTATTTCATATAGTATGTTCCAGTTAACAGTGGCTATAGCATATTTCTGTGACAAAAACCCAGTAACAGAGTGGCAGTGCATAGCAGCCTCACTGACTCAGCTGCAAATCCGTGGCTAGAACATAAGTATACACCCCATGAAGATACTCTTGGGCTTACCTAGGTCAGAGCACTGCACCACGCGAAGATGGCACTGGCAGCGGAAGGGGCACACTGGTCCAAATCCAGATATGACGGGATCGTCTGTCGGAGGCATATCAGCAGATCCTTCATCTTCCAGCATAAAGTCAAAGAGGCCCTGCTGGTGGAATGGCTTGGCCAAACATATTGGCAGCAGTAGGATGAAGAGAAGAGCCAGCTTCATGGCTTAGTTCATCAACTCCGGGCAGAACCTAGGGATCAAAGCAGGAGATTTACAACAAAAGTATCAGATTCCCATAGCTGCACAGTTCCTGCTGAAGGAGGTGCAGCATATCCACCAATTGCATAACTGTTCCTTTCAATAAATGAAAAATGAATAATGAAAATAGGACAGTTATGTGATAGGAGACTGGTAACATCTTGTCAATAAGCTTTTACAGAACAGTTTAAAGACAACTGTAAACACATCTGTTTGCATATTTAGAGTAATATTTATTAGGAACAGGCAGTGCTGTCAACTTTGTTATGCAAAAGAGTCAAAACAATAAGCCACATTTTCCATGTGTCTGTTTTCTGCCAACTTAACGGTCTATCTGATTTCATTAGCATTTGTTTCACAGCAATGATTTTGTCCCCTGGAGACAAACCTGAGGTTCCCAAACTCACTGTAATGCAGTATTTTGTGTCTTAAGTATTTTTTTTTTTTAAGTGCCAGCTTGCTGTGTGTTTGAAATTATAGTCTAGTAAAACTGACTGAGAAAGAGTATGGCTTTGTGATGGGGTGGAGACAGAGGCGGGGGGGAAGATCTTTAGTTGTTTAAATGAGTTATACTTCTTTCCCAGTTTAAACAGCACAATAAAATGCAATACAATGTGTGTTATGCTGGATATTCTTGGTTTTCTTTCCAAATTTTTCCCTAGGGGATTTTATGATATAAACAATGTACCCTTAAAATCCTCTGCTTTGCACTGTATAAGCACTTAAATTGATACTTTTAGTATTTTCAGCATACTTTTCTAACAGCAATTCAGTGCAGACTTTCATGCTAAGGAGCAATTTTACACAAATATGCATTGCATTAATAGACATTAACAAGGAAAACTGCCTAAATACATGTTCTCAGGACATAGGCTTAAATGTATTTCAACACACTGTACATTGTGCTACCTATGTTGTTGTGGGCTAAGAACACAACAAAAATACAAATCAGCTCTTTGCAGGCTTTGTTTCAGGGCAGTATAGATCAGCTAATGCTCTGAAAATTATTTCATTTTTCTATTTATTTTATATAAGAAAGGTAATCTTTTGCAAACCTTCATGGGTCTGAAAACAACCCACACACACAAAAAAAAAGAAACCTGACTTCAAGTTTCTAAATGACAGAAAGGCAAACTAGCCATGTGATTAGGAACCTTTTATTTTAAATAGATGGCATAGCTCTGAATGCAGGTTCTTTGTAATTAAAGCAAAAACATCCACTTGCTCCTTTAGGTCAATAACTTCCAAAATGCTCGTGTCGGTGCCAGCTGGGATTTTTCTCTAGAAGAAATTATCTAACAGTATAGCACTTCTCAGCTCCATATTGACTAATGGAAAGATAAAAAATCGGGGAGAGGCAGAGGAGGAGGCCTGTTTCCTTCTCTACACTGATATATGGAACCCACCAGGTAGATGACTTACATGGGCAGCTGATATTGGATAAGAGCTGTATATTGAGGCCTCACTTTATAGAATACCACATCCAGGTATTCTAACAGGAGTGTTTAGTAGAAAAAAAAAAGGTAAAAAGATAAAAAACACAGTCCTGGAATTAGATACCATCTATATTGTGCATGGGTTCAGTTTCCTTTATGAATTTCTACCTACACATTCCAACAATGCAGGTCTGCAGACTAGGGTTCTGAACTAGGGCTCAGTCTTGAGAGGATGGTAAGTTTACCTTATAAAATATGCTAGTGCTTTAAAATCATAGCTTATATTCCTGTCATCTACCTAACAGGAAGATGGATTTCTAGCATCTTTATATGTCCCAAAGACTTCAATGTGAATTCCCATGGAGAAAAGCACCACTTCTGTTCTTCTGTTGTCTCTTTAAGAGACACAGTTGGTTTCTTAGTTGGACCAGAAAGCATTTTCCATTCCTGGAGCAGACATATTATCTATTGCATGCACAGAGGGGTTTCACAGACCCCAATGTCAGCTAGAGGGTCAGAGCATTTTAACATGTCCTCTCAGCCCAACTCAGTGCTCTGCAAACTTGATCATGTAGGCTGTGTCTTTGTGTGGGCCATCCTCCTGTGCTTCCTTCTGCCCTGACTCCCCCACCAACGGTGGGGCTGTGTCCCTTCTCCAGCAACACCCCCATGATGCAAACAGGGTACATGCAGACAAGTAAGGATGTCACAGCAAACTGGTGTTAATACGTGGTGGTGAGATCTTACCACGGTTTAATCTAAAACAAGACTTTTGAAATAATGATTATTATGTACAAATTGTTGTAAAATAACAATGCAATACATTAATACTTTGAAAAGGGAGGACAACTTGCTAAATCATCACCATTCATCATAATTATCTGCCTTATGAAAATGATCAATAAAACATTACCCCAGTACAGCTCATTTTTCAGAATGTACATTTACATATTCAGTAAACACTGGGAATGCCACACACTAACACTGGCAATCAGGACTTTTTAAAGAGATTTCCCAGCTCCCTTTTATGTATTTGGACATTTAAAAAATATTTTTAAATACTTAAAACTGCTTGTATTCCCACCCTTCTCCTCCCCCAGGGTCACTGCTGAAGCACTGTCCCTCCTAAGAATGCACAGTCAGGATCTTATCCTGGAGTTAAATTACAACCCCTCGAAAAAAAACCCAAAACAATGTAAACGCACTTTGGAAGTGTCATTACACTTTACTTCTTATTCACATTAATATTGATGACTTTACTTATCTCAGTTAAACCCTGTCTTAGGCCTTTTCCTTTGGTCTATGTTTTGTCAAAACCAGAATAATATCAGTAAGAACTGTGTGTAAAGGATAACAAAGGATATCAACTATCTAATCTAAGGACACAGCAGAGAAAATAACAGACACAAACTATTAATCAGGAAATAGGAATAGATATGTGTCTGCATATCTTTATTCATATTGATATTTGTACAGCAGGCACATGTATCTGTTCCTATTGTCTGCATGTGTAAATGAACATAAACAGAGAAAAAGACATATACAAAACTATACTAGTAAGAAATGTTTACATTTTGCTCAGAAAAAGAAATGGGGTAGGGGGGTGGGGAGTGGAATCTGAATCCTTAAATGTCTGTGACACAATATTTATGTCTGCAGGACATAACTGTTTAAATTTGCTTTAATTATGTGTTTACAATGAGGAAGACTTTTCCACAAACAGAGGAAACTATACCATAGACTTGGCCACATTTCAGTTTAAAATACCACTGGAAATATGCTTCATCAGTTCACGTCACCCCTGTATTGGTGGTCTTCTTGTCAGTTTACCTTTGTATTAAGTTTTAAATATTAGTTCACCTATTGTCACACATCTCTTAAAATGCTACAAAAGACAAACTATATATGCAGTTTCAAAAAAATCCAAAACCAACAAAACCCTACACTGCATGTTTTACCCATTTTGTGTAATAAAGTCTAAATGTGCACACAGAGGAGTTGGAAGTTTTAAAGAGATTAAAACTCTGTTAACAGGAGTTTCAGCTCCAAGAATTTTCTTTTCTACTATTTCACTTGTAGGAACTTTCTTTAAATGTAAGTCCCTTGTTTGTACACTGTAACATAGCACTTTCTAACATTACAAAGGCATACACTGAGCCCATTTAACTAACTAGCACATATTATTTTCTCTGAAACCGAAATTATATTCATTAATGTTTGGAATACAAATGAAGAAATACAAATGAAAAAGAAATCACGTAGTGCAATTTAAAACAGAAATATAAGTACTCACACATTTTTTACTCTCACTACATCACCGATTCTAAACACTGGATTTCAAACAAAGAATATACTGCTGCAAAAGTTTACAGTAAGGAAAAAGAAGGACTATAGCAGTGCTTATACAAATCAAAACAAGAAGCAGAAAAGTCAAATAAACAGTAGGAAATCTGCACAGTCCTTGAGAATGTATTCTCACGTTCCCAAGAAACAAAAGTGCTGGATACAAAACTTAACACTGCTAAACATTTAGTAGGATTTCTTCCTCGCTTCTCTTAAAATTCAACTAGTTCTTGCCGTAGACTTGCCTGAAGTTTTATTAGTGCAGCATAGTTCAGGAGAATTACTGAAAAACCGTACCTTTTAATCCAGGGATTTGCAACAGGAGCTCTCAAAGCTGAGATGCAATTAAACTAAATATTCAACCCAGGCAAAAGGCTTTGCAGGTGTGGAAAGGAGGAGGGGGTAAGTTCAGCTCAGTGACTGTCACTTGGTGGAAAAACCCTCCTGCTTCTATTCCATAGCACAGTTAAAAAATAAGGTTTCTCTCAATGAACACAATCCAGGCTGACACCCACATTAGATCATATGGTAATGATATGTCTCCTGTATTGTAGCCAGAAACTTTATCAGCTCTTTTGCTTTCTTTTCCTCCTTTTTCTTTTTCATTTGCTTGTTTTCTTTTTTGTCTGTTTAGAATCCTAAACTACTTGTACACTATAAGACAGATTCTTAGCTGTAATTCATCTTACTTATGTCGTTACAACGTACATTCAGTAAAGTTTTTTTGGTTTTAACTTTGGTTTTTTTTCTGACTCATTACTGGGAAAAATATTTGGCTGTTCCTGTTGTTTATAGTATTTCTAATTCAAGGAAATGATATAAAATTAAATTTGGAGTTAGTCAAAGTAGAGATTAATATCAGAAAAAAAAAAGGGTAGCTTTAGGTAAAACTATTTAAACAGATATCAACCTGCCTTTGCTTATGTTATATTATTGTCAAACCAAGTAATACATAGGAATATACTATTATCTTGGCTAATAATAGAGCTTTGATGCATTTCTTCAAACTACTGCATTTTTTATACATATATGAAAATCGTGTTTTCATTAGTGGAACGATTCTAGCATTTGTGGTTAGAACTGGTTTATATAAACTTTGCTTTTTTTTACTTCTTTCTTACCAGACCAGCAAAGCAGAAGGGAAATTAGCTTTAATTGGGTTTTGGGGCTGAGCATTTTTTCTTGGTTTTCTGGGTTTTTTAAGAGACAGTGAAGATTTTTTTGAAGCATGAAAAGAAAAATGTATCCTACTTGTTGTTCAGATTTATATTTTAATTTAGCAGTTTCTGGTTTGATGCAAATATCAACAGAACCTAAAATGTGATTTCTCTATTCCTGCAAAATTTTTAAATCCTAGCAAACTGAGAGCAAATACAATAATTACTATTTATTTAGCAATTAAAAACACATTGTGAACATGTGTAGCTTCCCTTTGCTGTTAGTTGTCCTATCTAAATACTGGAGGCTTGTGTCTCTGTGTTTTGACTTGTATCCTTTTATTTCTGCCCCCAGGCTAAGACCAGGTGCAAATCTGAAATTAAAGCCTAAATGTGAAATGTGAAATGTGAAATGATGTTTAAAAGAAGTCCTAATTCTTAGAAACACAATAAACTCTTGAAAATTTTATCTATTCTCTTCATTTAATTTCAAGAAGAGACATTAAAACAACTCATAATTGTCCACTTTTGGTGGAAGAAAACATGGTAGAATAGTTCATAGGTTTGGTCAGTGTAGCCCAAAGCTATAATCAGATATCTTACATTACAGCTTCTTTATAGAGTTCACTCTAAAAGTTAAGGATCATTTATTCACTCCTAGTCCTTGAGCTAACTTCTTCCCTCTGCCTTTTCACTGGATTCAAGACTGCTAACGATTTTTGTTGTGACATTTTTCTACATATGATTAGTGATGTTCCAAGCTTTCATGCTTACAACAAAGCCTTATCTTTGTCCAGAAGTGTCGCCATGAGGCTTGCTGAAATCTTGGCTGCATCTTAGTAATGTCAGTTATTTGAACCTTGGTCACTAGCTGCATCTGGTGTTTAAAAACATTTCAAAGAAAGATTTTGATGAGGAACAGGTCAGGGTAAACTTGTTGTCAGTTTGTTTCACAAAACCCATTCATATCCTTTCCCAGTAAAATTATAATGCATTTGTTCTGGTGTCTGTTATGGGGTTGAAAGGTGATATAATTTAATAGCTAAGTCATCTCTTTGGAGGCACAGGAGAGGACGGACAGCCACCTCCTCTTCTTTTTTGTTTTGGGAGTTAAGAAAAGTCAAACAAATGCATGAAGATTGAGGTGGGAACAGGTAGAGCACAGAGTTCCTGCTGGGTGGACTGGGGACTCTCAGTCTGCCTGTGGAGGAACTGCTGCCCATGGAGGGAGAATTCCCCTACTTTCTCTTTAATGAAGTCCATCCCAAGTAGCTCAGAGGGAGAAAATGTTACCACCTTCAGGAATTATGAGAACATTCATGCTGTCTATACCTGAGGTTAATAGGTTAATAGCCATAGGTAAAAGGGTAATATGTTAAATAGGTAAATAGATAATAGGTAAAATGTTAGGCATTCATGCCCTCCTGAAGTGCAAAGTGGAGTATGTGGAGGACTGAACAACTGAATGGGAGAGGGCTTACAACACTGAATATTGGTGCAGAGCACTATTAATTCTTACACGATATTTCCATGCTTTTACGGGAATGTGGAACCGTTTCTGATGCCCCTTGCTATGTTACTCAGGAGATAAACAACTATTAAAAAAAACCAACCCAACAATGATATGAAATCATTATATAATTTTAAGGCCCATGACTATAGTCAGGGCCTAGCATTGATAAGCTCCCCTTCCCAATCTGACCTACTTTGACTACAGCTAGCCAATACAAAAATAATCATTATTAGAACAATTGTGGCTTCTAGATAATTTTATTACTCTAATTTAAGAAACTTACAGGGCTACATGCTGCTCCTAATATTGATTTCCAGAAAGTTACAGGCAACTGCATTTTAATGTTACTTATATAACAGTCTTTTTATTAAATTTTGATAGATAGCATCTGCTTCATTTACTCACAGCTTATTTTGTGGACCTTTCAAAGGTCAATGGTGGGAGAGAAGACAGGAAGCCTGCCTGCCTGCCACTGACTGCTCTGCCTGGGTCCATTGGAAGCCTCTGCAGGAAGGAGATGAACAGATGCCATGTAGGAAGCAAACATTCCCTGGGGAATTGCTCCTGGAAAGTGGGGCTGGGCTGGGAGAGAGGCACCAGGCAGGCATTCAGTGCTGCCAGCACAGGTTGCAGACTCCTCAGAAGAACAGGGAGTTGACATAATCTGCCCCTGGGCATGGAGAGAAAGGCTTATTTTTTTTAGGGAGCCTGGGGAAAAAAAAAAAAAAAAAAAAGTAGCCTTTATTGCAATCCAGAATATATCTGGAAGAAAACCAAAGCAGGAGGACAGGGTCTGTCCTGAAGGAACATGGTGGCCCAGAGACTCAGGGTCTTCCTCATTCTAAGTTTCCACTACAGAAAAAAGCATTTTTTCTTGGGCTGTCTTCTAATAGATCCTAGCTTTGATGATCAAAGAATGATTAGTGTTGTTGTGGCAAAAAAGATGGGCAGGCAAACCTGCCTCAAAGTCCTCATGAACAAGCCAGGTAAGTGCCAATCTCCATCAGGAAGGATTGAATCAAATTCCTTGTTTGGCTGTCTCTCAGGGACCTTCTACACCTCCCCTGTATCGCATGCCTAGGCTTTACTAGCATGGCATCCTCCATGTTCTCTAATATACCACTGCCTGTTTCTCCTCTCCTTTCTACACTAGGCACAGTAATTTCTTCCAATCACCTGTAGTAAAGTGTTCTTACCATAGCAATGGAGTTCCTCTACTAAAAATGCAAGTAAATACTGACCCAAATTTAGCAAACATTGATCCAGGTAAATATTGACCTAGGCACAGGCTGACAAAGTAGCAAAAGAGGCTGAAATATAATTTCTGGATGTTCTCAGTACCAAAGTTTTCTTCAGCATTCTGTAACTTCACAAATGGTAGTTCTGAACTTCTTGACATCTCTACAGAGCAAAAAGATTGATTTTACAGATTTTGGATGTGTGCTACCAGTAGCATTATTTTTCTGTGAAAGCGCTTCTTGTATAACTGTTTGAACTAAATGCAACAAAACTTCAAAAGAGAGCCTTCTGTTTGAAGGTATAGTCTCTTCCCTCACTGTCTGTCTTCCCTCCTCTCCCTTTCCCACTCTGCCAGATAATGTACTGTGTACCCCTCATGGTCATCTCCCTGCTCCTTCTGAAGGGAATCTGTGGGATCTACAAGGTCACCGTAGGAAACAAAGTCAATTTATCTTCAGCTGAAGTATCCAGTGTGTGATTACATCTTTTACTTTGGTCTCTTTTCTTTGGAAAGTCCAATCTGTTAATGGACTCAACATAAGCTTTCCTTTCTGCTGGCATTTCTATTCTCTCCTGAATCAAATTTTCTTGTGCAGGTGTATCCAGCAGCTGCAGAAGCTAGCCACATATCAATGTAGTCTTACTACTCATGATGATTTCAAATGCTCTGAACTTACCTTCCACCCTTGAGCAGGAAGCCTGTCCTAATTATTCCTCATGCTTTTGTAGAATAAACATACATTTAGAGATCACTGTTGCCTCTCTCCCTCAAGAAAAGCAGCAAATGGGTAAAACTAGGCTTTGCCTGAATCTTCCCAGCTCCAGACACCCTAGATGGGTGAGACGAAAGTGATTGTGGACCAAAGACACCAGAACCTCACTTTGACTTTACCTCTTCGCCTTTAATTTACTATAAAGAAAACATATGTAAAAACATTTGTTGTTGCACACACTGATATACCTCTCAGGTATAGTCAGGTGCTCCACTTGCTGCATTACAGTGATAGACAGCATTACGTTTTGTTTCTTGCTTGGCTTCTGTGCAAGTGTCAACAGTCTCCTGCTCTCCAGAAAATCTCATACATGAAGGAAAGAGTCTGCTGACAGATGCCCCTCAGAAAAGGTACCAGGAGGCTAAAACTCCCTCATAGAAGCCACCTTCCCAAGAAAGTGTGTCACTGGGAATGTGGGCCATGAAAAAGGCAGTGATGACTGGAGAGAAGAAAGGATTAGTTTACGTAAGAGGAGGTGAAATTTCAAGTGAGCAGCTGTTTCATCTGATTTTGGCCTTTCTTCATATTTTGCAGTATCTTGAGTTGCAGTCCAACCATTTCAAGGTTCAGATGAAAAATCCAAACCTTGATTCTCATTTCAATAGCCCTTAGATCATGCTCTGGACAAACCTCGTCATCCTAGCTGGATTACACAATGCCCTAGAAAAGGATGACAGTAATTCATGCAGATGTTGGAACTGTACTTCTTGCATGTCATCAGTTAGTCAGGGGTTATGAACCAGCATGCAAACTGAGACACATCCTGTGCAGCTCTGAACAGCCTATTCCCAGATTATGAAAAACATGTGAATGGACAGGTCATCCTTGATT